GCGGGGAAAAGGTGGAAATTTTTAATAAATAAATAAATACTTTAAAAAAAGAACATTGGTCAGAGTTAAGGGTATGACTTAGAGCAGTGGTGCTCTAAAGTAACTCATTTAGTAAAATTTATTTATTAGGTTTCTATTTTTGTTTTCATTGTCACCTATAATCATTTGTTATTGTTTGAGCAATATTTAAGTTTTGTTTAAAAATCTTGTGTTCTATTGATAATAGTTAGTGCATTTGATAGAATTGATAGGTGTGCTATACACAGTCTTGGACAAAATTAGTTGTTTGGTTTGTTCTTATCAACAGAAGCCATGCTTTGTCACAGTAGCCTCACTACACTTCTGTTTCTGGCTCTCATAACCCCTCTCTGCTCATCAAAGAGTGGTCACAGCTGTGTTCTGCATACCACAGGTGTTCCCTGTTCCCAAGGGTTCTGTTCTCTCACAGCTTGAACTGTGCATCTTTTATAAACAAGCTCACTGACTGGTACCCATGACTGAGTAGACCATCTGTTTTCTGTGGGAATCCTGAAGGAGACAATATACATACTTGTATATTATACTCTTTAAATTCTTTTTCAAAAAATATTTTACTTATACCATTATTTATTATTTAAAAATGAGAATTTCAAGAAAATAATGAATGGAAAATGAGAAAAAATGACCATAGTTATTTTGAAACTTTAACTTGAATTTAAAAAAATACAGTATGAATTTCAGAGTGTGGGCTCATCCAAAGCACTATGGATAATTAACGGGTTTGTTTTACCATTTTAGTAGATCAAAGAAAATAATGAAAAAATTATAGTCTGATGGGCATTAGTGCTTTCTCTCTTAATATTTGAACAAAGCTAAGCTTCCAACTAGAGTTCCCTGAGTCTTCAGTTTTACTTACAGAGCTTGCAGAGAGCCTGCACCATATGAAGTTTGAAAGGAAGCAAGTGATCAGGGGGCTAGAAGTTGAATGACCTCCTAGTCCCAAACAGGAAATAAACTCAGAGGAATGTTAAAGTAACTTAATCAACTCTGTGGTCAGAACAAAAGAGTTATCCACCAGAGCAGTCAATGACATCTTTATAGTTGACTCATAAACCCCAGAGTTGCAATATGGTCGAAAATGTAGAAAACTTTTTTTGGTCCTTACCTAACATGTTACAAACACATCATATTCTGTTCAATTAGATTAAAAAAAAGAAATCAGAGTTAGGAAGTTATTATTTCCCTTTTTTAATGTAATAGAAATGTGTGACGAGAATAAATGGAATCCATTAGAACTCCTAGAAAAAAAATCAGTTTCTAATTGTACATATTTTATCTTTCTAATATCTTCTTTAGATTCCCAGGTGCATCCCTCAATCTTGAGTCCTGCCAGGCTTGGTGGACCATTTTATTTCACTACTGTGCTTATGATATAAAAAGGAAAGAATAAATATTATAAAGTTAAACATGATTAAAAACATATTGTTTTAGTTAAGGATTCATTCATTAAAAGTTGGACTGAAAAGTGACTTTATGAGCTGACTGGCATCCCTTTTGTACACAAGTCAGACTGAAATAGAAGAGCTGCAATGGGTAATCACTGCTTGTGAAATGGAAATTGTATTTATGAGAGACATATTGTCTGTAGGCCTCACCTGAGATTTGTTAACAACCTTTAGGAAGTCTCTCAAATTGTGAGTAAACTCTTTGCATATAGTTATCCCTTATTAATCATGAATAACATGTTTCAAGACCCTCAGTAGGCACCTGAAACCTCTGATAGTACAAATTCTGTAAATGAATCCTTCCTATCTTCATCAATGTGATGGCAGCTTTTGCAGTTGGAGGTATAGCGAGCGGCAAACTAGCATGACTTTCCCTCAGCACGTATCCTCAGTGCCTCAGCATTTGACTTTTTCTTTCTTTATTAAGTATAGAAGTTTTTTCGGACTCATTATTCTTACATTAGAGGTCATTATTAAGAAAAAGAGCAGTTGATTGAACAAAAGCTGTGAGCTACCTCGGTGGTTGATCTGACAACATAGGGAAAGTTTCAGGACTAGCTGGCGAGGTGCAGGTAGCACATGCACTGCAGACCACTGAGTGGAAGGTTAGTTCACGCCTTAGGTGACTAACATTACATTTTGCCACCATACTCAGAATGATGCAAATTTAAAATTTAAAAACCTTATATCTGAACTTTCCCATTTAATATTTTGGGTTTGTAGTTGACAATAGGTAACTGAGACTACAGAAAGTAAAGTCATAGACAAGGAAGAACTAGTTGGAAACACATTTCCTTTAAATATGATCACAAAATCAACTCAGTCTTGTTGAATGAACAAAGTTGTCTCTTTTTTTGTTCATTCATGATTGAAAACATCAGTCTTTATACACATTATCTTTTCAGTTATTTGTGTGATCTTGTTTTAAAAAAAGTCATTTATTGCTTTTGTTTTCAGTAGCCTCTTCTATAAATAAGGGACTGGCTTTAGATAATCTTCAAGTTCCTTCCAGCTGAGTAACTTTTTGCATATAGTACTCCACTAATATGGTTGAGAAATTGAAGTTTGCTTTGGTCCAGGCTTCTTCGAGTTCAGTTTCCCCACTATCCAACAGCTCTCCTTGGCTCTCATTTGAAACTCCAATACCCGCTTCTTCACCAAGTCCAGCCTCAAGGGGATGTAGAACCAAGCACTGAAATTATGTTACAATTTTGATGCATTGTGGCAGATGGAACAGAACAATAGACCAAGATGTGTTGGAAGACTCCAGCTCAAGTCTTAAAGGTCACACTCCTAATTTTACATATGCGTGTAGGTGTATTAAAGAGGTCCACAACTCATTTGCCCTGAACCTTGGACTCTTTGAAATCCTTTTGCAATCTCATGAATTCTAAGCCAATATGTTCCCTACATTGTACTTTATGCTTTGTAAATACAAGATTTGGCTTAGTTGGGAGGGGTAAATGTGGGGGCAAACTTTTAAAGTCAAGGTTCTTGGATGCTAGAAGCTACTAGAGATTGTACTCCACAGCACCTGCACAGAGGCTGGCTTGGTCCCCAAATATAGAAACTTCTTTCTTGACCCACTTAGAATTGATGCAGAGGAAAGAAGTTACTTTTGTAAGTACCCATTATCTTGGAAACACAGTTAATTTTCAACCTTCCAGAAGCTTGTTCTACAACAAATCCAGCTCTCACAGCCTTGCCATGGGCTGCAGACAAGGTACCTTCTCATCTCTGATCTTGCGAGTTGCCTGTTGTTGAGCAGGAGTTGTGAGGGAAAGAGTTTTGAGGTTACTGCTTCCTGCCTCCACACCTTCAGCTCGTTTAGCTGCTAGGACAGGCTTTGAAAAGCAAAGCACTAAGTTCATTATCAAAACAACCTGTCAGTTAGCGGAGGTCTTTTACTACGTTAGGCAAATGCAGTTGGGAGGGTATCAGTGTTTCTGGTAGGTGTAACCTCGATAAATTACCCGCAAGAAGGAAAATAGATCAAGTGTTTGCAAAGGGAAAGAAAGGTCATTCCTAACATGATTTAAAAACAGCAAATCCTCAAACAGAAGCCAGTGAACTGAGTGCATTCTAGTTTCTTCTAAGTCAGTGATCCTCAGTCTTCCAAGTGCTGCAACCCTTTAATGCAGTACCTCAGATTTTGGTGACCCCCATCCATAAAATTATTTCATTTCTATTTCATAACTGTAATTTTGCTATTGTTGTGAATTGTAATGTAAATATCTGATATGCAGGATACCTGATATGTCATCCCCAAAGGGTCACAACTCGCAGGTTTAGAATTGCTATTCTAAGCCTAGGTATGTCTTGAATTTTATAGTATTCCCTTAAATTTGAAATACCACGGATTCCCAGATACCCAAACAAACAAACAAAACAGCAACAACAACAACAAACCAAAATTCATAGTCAAGCTGAGCACTGTCACTTGATTGGTTTGTCAGAATCTTTGCACTCTACTGCTGTAGAGTGAGGGGTGTGTCTTCTCACACATGCTCCATTTTAAGGGAAATTAAAAGAAGCTAGAAGTATTGTATGTTCTAGAAACCACAATGATCACATATTTAGGATAACTATATGTCAATATCATTTAGGATAACTGTAACTTCTGTTCAATACCAGGCATAAACTTATTTTATTTAGTGTGTCTCCAGAACAGATGTAGAGTTTGAAGTCCAGTCAGATAGCTTCTCACATGAAAATTTTAAATCATTGAAATAAATTAAAGTGAGACCAAATCCTAGAAAGAATATTAACTTTAAAAAAGAGGTTTCATCAGCTTGAATTTTATGCTAGGAAGCAGTTAGCCACATATTAGCATAAAACAAGAAATTACCTCAAATATAGTATCTTTCTTTAAGCATCAGCTAATTTAAAAATTATCTGTTGGCAGAAAAGTAAACATCGATACGTAAACATCAACAGATGAATTGCCCGCCTTTTTCATAGATGTTTTCAAACTCTTTCCCAACAAAATTCTGGCACAGCCACAAAATGAAGTAATTTCCCTTTCCTTGCTCAGAGGCAGGCTGTGTTACCAGAACAGTGGCATGTAACAAATTAGCCTTGACACAGGAGCCGTTGAGTTTCTGGTGAGAATGTTCTTGATTTTTAATCTGAGATCAAATGGGTTCAGAAGAAATCAGACAACCCCAACCACCCTGAGGCTTGAGCTCAGAGGCCCCATGACGGGAAGAAGAAAAAGCTACCTCTAGTCGTTATATTACTCCATGTGAAGAACAACCGTTTCTGAGAATGACTGCTGCCTCTTCCTTCGGAAAGTTTCTACTCTGTGTCGTGACCCCCCAAGGCTGCAAACTTGTCTTCTTCATAGTCCAGATGTCCAAACTTTCTTTGATTTTGGATTTGTCTATTCTGGTACTGCAATGAAGTAGAAAAAATGGGTGAAGAAGAGATATGGGCAAAAAAGAAAAAATAGATACTTTTTCCTTTGGCTGTGTGGCTGAGGAAGTCATTTTAAAATCTTCTTTTCTCTTTAACCAGACCTGAATCACTGTCAAGTTGTATAAGCATTAGTCTGTAAACACTTCTCACCTCTGACCCAGAAGACAACTGAATCTTGACTACTCTCCATGCCTTCACTCTTGTACACTCCAAAGTACTACCTCCATTTTTGCTAAAGTGATCTCCATAAGTGAAAATGCTGCACTCACCTACTTTTCTGCCTCAAAGCCTTCACTAGGTCTCCATCACTGGCAGGAGAGGGACCAAGGTCTCTGATGAGGTGAGCAACGCTTGATTTTCCACTCTTGTCTTTCCTACCTTGGTCAGAAAGAGTGGAGGTAGCTGTAATTCTCCCCAGAGTGTCACACTCGTTCTCTATTACTATTTTTTTTTGCTATTTTTTCTCTTTTTTCCTCCCCACTTCACCAACTTACTTTTAGTTTCAACATACACACACTACCCCATCTCCCCATCTTGAGGACACGTCTTATCAATGCTAACTTTTTGTTTGAGAAACATTTGTCAGTCAATGTGGGCATCATCCTTTATCTCCCAGAACAGCAGTCTTCATGTGTACAGAATCTGCAATTGGTTCTTCAATTGCTCCCAGAACCTGTAGATCTCTGTCTACTGTGTCAAAATTAGCTATCTGTTTATATATTTTTCTTTCTTACTAGACTGTGACCTGCCCAAGAAATTCATGTTTAGGAACTAGATTTTTTCTCTGGGAAGATGTCACCTACTGAATCAGACAGGAATCACTAAATAAACACTGGAGTCTGTATTTAGGACCTCCCCTTTCCCTTCTTGTTCCTTCCTCTCAACTCCTACACAGATGTCCATAGTAGCATTGTTCACAATAACTAACGTTGAGTGAACAAACAAAATGACTATATTGACACAATATGTTATCTAGCATAGAATAAAGTTCTGATATTTTATTACAACATGGATGAAACTTGATAATTGCTACGTGAAAGAAGCCATATAGAAAATGGCACACATACTATGATTCCATGCATATGAAACGGCCTGAATGGGCAAATAGAGACAAGAAGTAAATGAATGGTTTCCCAAGGCTGAGAGAGAGAACAATGGGAAGTGGCAGCCACTGAGCATCCTCTTCATGTAATGAAAGTACTTTACAGACAGTAGAGGGTACTCACAACTCCTGGAGTGTCACTCGTTACTCCAAACACCAATACCAACACTAACCCCATCTTAACTTACAAAATATATCAGAATTTCTAGGAGGAAAAGGCATGGATATGGATTTTTTTAAAGGTTTTTGATGTATAGAAATACTGATAATTATACAACAAACAAGAAAGAAAACCCCATCTGTGTTCATGAATTCAATTCCAGATTACATAACAAATTTTATTTTAACAACTTCCAATTCTAGCTGGCTTTGGGGTACAAATAACTTTTTAAAAATTATAAACAATAGGCTTAAGAGATTACTCAGCTGTGAAGGCTAGGCTCACAACAACAAAAAAATCATAAGTAGTAATTATTAGCTTGCCCCCAGTAAAAATTGATTTTATTTATATTAAATTTCTTTCACAGACAAATAGCAATGTGTTTACTTCTAAAAAAACTGAAGTTATGTTTCAGAAAAAGGTTGTAGGGTCTTTGATCTGTGAAGTTGATTCTCTATACTTAAGTGGTCAGCTATCTATGTGGTATGGCTTTTGGTTTCAGTTATGAATTTATTCACCATTTCTTCAATGACTGTAAATGAACATTCATGCTTTTAGACCTCATTCTGCCATTCCCCCTCCCAAAGGAATATATAGGCATGGTGGCCCACACTTTTAATTCCAGTACTCAGGAAGCAGAGGTGGGTGAATATGACTTTCTATGCCAACCTGATCTGTGTAGTGAGTTCTAAGTCAGCCAGGGTTACAGAATGAGACCCTGTTTTGTTTTGTTTTGTCTTTTTTGATGTTGTTGTTTTGTTTTCTTTGTTTGTTTGCTTGCTTGTTTAGAAAAACAAATACAGAGCTAAAGACGTGGTAGCACCTGTGGTCAGGCCTGATTTCTGATTAGAAGGAGAGAGTCAACCCTGCAAGCTGTCCTCCACCCTCCACACAATATTTAAAATGTAATATTTTCTTTTCTAAAGGAATATATTTTTGTGTTCTGGGAACTATATTTTGTGAAATGGGAATACACTGGAAAATGATATCAATGTGGTCTCCTCCCTAACCGAGTTGATAATGTAGTTTCATTTAGTTTGCTTTTGAAGTGAGAAATTGAATGAGATAATATCTAGATCTTTGATTGTTTATTGCACAAAGGTAGAACTTTTCTTGATTTAAGACAACAAACATGCAAGTTTCTTGGGAACCTGTTCTCTGAATTTGCTATGGAAGAGAATTAAAGGCAACACTTGAACTACAGATTTCCGCACATCTCTATCCTACTCTTGGTTTGGTCAATAAACAAAGTCAAAATGTTTCGAACGTTTTAAATCTTTTTATAGAAACCTGTCACATGATTGAAAACAAATTTATCTGGGCACCAGTGTCAGGTTTTCAGGCTGCTTCCAAGCATATCACTTAATCAGGAAATCAACCTAAGGCCTGATTAACATCTTAGGAATCTCAATTTGATTAAAAAATTTCTAGTGCATAGCTCAGTGATGACAGAAGGTCCATCTTTCAGGTGGAAAGATGCTCCATTTTCCCTTTCGCAAAAGGATGCCAACATAATCAAAATATAAACTTTAAAGCTTTTGGTATAGTGATCACTCCAAGACCTACTATTATATCTTTATCTACCAGAAGACTTTGTTGGAGATCTATTAAGTTGGCTAATTTGATTTCAGGACAAGAGAATTATTGTGCTTATATTCTAACTAAGAATTTCCCCCCTCAGAAAACAAAATTTTGGTGAAGCAGTCGCCCATGCTTGTGGTGGACGACAATGACGTCACCCTCAGCTGCAGGTATTCTCACAACCTGCTCTTGAAGGAGTTCCGGGCGTCACTGCACAAGGGAGTGAACAGTGATGTGGAAGTCTGTGTTGCGATTGGGAATCTCTCCTCTCAGCTTCAGTTTCACTCAAATGTGGGGTTCACCTGTGATGGGAATTTGGACAATGAAACAGTGACATTCTACCTCCGGAATCTGCACGTCAATCAAACAGATATATACTTCTGCAGAGTTGAGGTCATGTACCCTCCTCCTTACCTAGACAATGAGAAGAGCAATGGAACTATTATTCACGTGAAAGGTAACTGTACTTGTGTTTGGCAATGCTGAACTCAAGTTTGGGGTAAATGGGGAGGCTGGAACACTCACCAATGATCTGAGACTAAAGACAAATAATTTTAAACCTGTTTTCCTTTTACTTTAGAAATAATTCCAGCTTATATTTTGAATGCCTGTGCCTTTCCTCATTGACATTATGTGGAAGAATGAGGGAAGAAGTTACAGACCATGGGAATAGAACCTATAAGATTATTCTCGATTCAAGTAGGTCATGTCAGGAAAAAAATTGCCATTAAAATGCTAGCCTGGATTTTTTTTAATGCCTTTTGGCTAAGATCAAGTATAAAATTGAACACAGAGTCCACTAAGAGGATCTGGACTCAGGAAGAATGGGTTGGATAACAAATTAATTGTCTTTTTTGTGATCCATGTTGCCCCAAAACATAAAAAGGATGCTGAACTAGAAATTTAGGGAACATTAAATTTGTAATCTTGAGTAAGTTAACCAACTCTTTAATAGCCCCAAACTCAATATGATTAAACAGTATTCATGAATCAGTAGCAACAGTGTACTATGCCTATATTGAGATTGTGTTCTATCTAATCATTGGGAAGAAAAATAACAGGATTCTTAAACTTGAGATATAGTATTGGCATTAACATATAAAACTGAGAAAGGCCAGGTAGATTTTTGTGTATATGCCTATATTATAGCTTTTCTTTCCCACAGAGTGATAAATAAGAAAACATATGTTCCATTTTATATTCAATTCTAGCACAATTGCAATAAATGCATTTTCTTTTATACCAGAACAAAACTGTCTTTGAGAAAAATCAAATACTAAACAAGGAAAAAATTATTATCTTAATATGACAGAGTAGCTTTCGTGTTCTGATAAAGATAGAAGCAATTAATTCTTCAGATTTCTAATATCAGTATTGCTCAAGCAAAATACTTGATTGGATTAAGTCAAAGGATAAAAAAGATATGCTATTTTGGAAACCAAGAACAAAACATTTCTTCCATATAAATAATACACCAATTAGGCTAGTATTTTGTGTGTATGTATACACATATACACATTTAAGAAAACTGGAAAAGATATGTACTTATCAGCTTTCAACTTTTTTTGTATATTTGAAACATAAGTAGGTAAACTGAAAAATACTTACACTCAACATTGAGTTTCTGACTTAATCAATATGGCTTGAGAAAGGGAAACTAGATAATGTTTTCAAATCTTGTCAGATAATTCTAATGGGTAGCCAGGATTAAAACTTCATGGACTAAAGTATTGTTGGTATTCTTTTTATTTATGTATTTTTATTACAACTTAATTATAAGTCATTATTTCAATCAACTGTGAAGTATTCTTCCTAGTTGCAATTTTCTGTGAATTTCAATAGAGCTGCTTGTTTTCCCACTGCCTTCTGACACTAGAGATGTAGTGTGTCTCACTCAGCTTCACATAACCGACTGGAGCTGGAGTCAGACATTTGTCTTTGTAATTTTTCCAGGCTGGGTTTCTGACTACCATGTTAAGCTCGCGGTTTTTCTTAGGGTTTAAAAACTTTTATATCATTTTACTTATTTCAAAGATAAAGTTTAGTGTATAGATAAATTGCCTTCTGATGGGGATAAGTGGATGGGGTCAGGTTAAAATCATTGAAATTGCCGTTTTGAATTGCACAATGTTCAACAAGATCCAGTGGCTTCAGTGTCACCAGTGTGCCACCAATGGTTTCCAACCTCAGTCCTGTATGCTGCATGCTGAGATCAGTGGTGGGCTTGAATAAGTTCCAAAATAGCAACACTAGAGCATCTATGCTCGTAATATTTTGCATATTATAGTACTTCCAAATTCTTCTCTGATGTTCAGGATAGAAATGTACTCAACTGCTATTGCTGTGTTCTTTAATCTACTCTGTTGTGTTTTTCAGAGAAACATCTTTGTCATGATCAAACTGCTCCTAGGCTGTTCTGGGCACTGGTTGGGGCTGCTGGAGTCCTGTTTTGTTATGGCTTGCTAGTGACAGTGGCTCTTTATATTATCTGGGTAAGAGAAGCAACATTGCTTTTACGTAACTTCTCTGCACATGCACTCTGACTATATTAAGCATCCTGCCTGCATCTTTTCTACTACAATGTGATAATTTTTTTAGACTGTTCAACTTTATGTGAAGTAATGATCTGATGTGAGTTCTGTTTTCTAGAAGGCACTACGTGGCCAGGAAGAATTAGAAACTAAATGGGGATATAAGAGTAGGAGATTAGAGGTAGTTAAATTTCTTATCCTTATTTTTGCAATATAATAATTGCATATAAACATACATATAAATGCAAACATAAAGTATAAAAATCTAAACCTCATCAAGAAGCTAAGCAAATGAAGCCAATGAACAGCTTCGGCTCAGGGTCAAAAATCAGGAGAAAGTAGACTGCCGAAATTGTGTATTCAATCCAGAAGGAAACAAGTCTATTTATGTCAGTCCTATTTTCTGTCTCTTGTGAAGCAGTTGCAGTGTGTGAGGCCAAGTATGGTGCTGTCATTATGAAAGCACAAAGGGAGGGAGACTGTTTGGCGCTCTCCCCACTGAGTAGAGTTTACCAGCCTCTGCGGATGGTTCTGCAAGAAGGTTGGTTTATATATTTCCACCTTTCTCAATCTGGAATTTCTAATCCAAGCTTGAGAATTTTTTATTTGTTTCATTTTTCTGAGACAATATCTCACTAGTGGCCCAGATTGGCCTGGGACTTGCAATGCAGTCCAGACTGGCCTTGTCTCAGTCTCTCAAGTGCTGGAATTATAGGTGTGTGTCATCATGTCTGTCTTTTGAACATATTTCAAATTATCGAATTTTATGTGTATGAGTGTTTGGCTGCATTTTTGTTTGTGCATCATTTTTTTGGTGTGTGTATTATTCCTATGGAAGCCAAAAGAGGGCATCAAATTTCCTGAAATTGGAGTTACAGATGTTTGTTAGCTACCATGTGGGTGCTGGGAACTGAACCTGGGTCCTCTGGCAGAGAGGCCAGTGCTCTTAACCTCTGAGCCATCCTTCCCACTCTCTTTTGAACACATTTTGGTGAATACATTCACTGTTAGGAAGGAACAACCTTAGCAAGGATCATCTGAAGGTTTTCTTTGAAACCTCTTTACAAAGAACAGAATGGCTTATTTATTGATTTCACATGATTCTGAATTTTTTTCGCAGAAGTTGGGTGAATATACATGTAAGTAATTTCTTCAATAAGAAATATATACTGTGTGCAAGAGGAAAGGACGATTTCTCTCGTTATTCTCCACCCATCTGCTATTAAGAACACTTAGGATTTAATGAATACTTATTCTGTCACTAAATTGTGAGGGCCCACAGTTTTGGATTCATTCAATCTTGATTAAAGGTCAGAGAGTTCATACCTGTTCTTGCTCCTCAAGGATGGACAGCAGAATGTTTGACCAAAGGTGTGGCTACTGGGTGCTTTGCTCCTCAAAAGTCAAAAGGATGTTTGACTTAGGGTGAGGTTACTGGGTGTTTTGAGATGTAAGGAGGTAATTATGCTTGTTTGTTCTTTGTATCATGAGAGTCTTGTGCCCTCCCGTTTTGATTGGGGCATAGAAGGACTGTGAGCAATGAACTCGTGGCTTTTTTTATTCACTGAAAGCCTCCCAACTCTATCTTCTGTCTCTTCTCTATTTATTTCCTCAAACTACACTCCCCTTATCAGGAACATATGGCCAAGTTGGGTTGGACCTGACACTAAATAGGTAACCCTCATAGAAACCAAATAAAGATCTAACTAAGCCTGCTTGAAATGTGACACCCATTTCAAGGCATTATATATATTTAACCAAGCAATGAACAGTCAGGGACTTCTGGAAGTCAGGCCCTGTAATGTTATCTTACTTTTACTATATTGTTGGAATGAGGACAGGACAACCCTACTTTTAAGTCATGAAGTTCTATAATCCAGTCTTAGGTTGAAATTATTTTCATATCTAGTATCCCCCCACATATTTCTGTATTCACAAGACCACAGAGGACAGATGGATCTTTGTCAGGCTACCTTTTGACTGATTTATAACTTCTACACAGTAAGGGAACATAGGGTTTGGGAGTTCTTTCTATTGTCTTGGGAATCTGCCTAGTTTAACTTCTATAAGTTGTTCATTATGTTATGAATTACAGAAAAATATTGCTCAAGTTCTACCTCTGGTATTAGTTTAGAAGTTTCTTTTTTTCTGGAGTTCTGAATGTGCATTTCTCGCTATCTTGTAGCTCTACAGTGGTTGCCAATGATTACTTTAGAATCCTAAGGTTTGGCTTGGTTTTACTAATTCTCAACCACTGGCTTTCTTGCTTGCTGTGTGTCTTCCAAAGTCTCTGAGAACTTTAATTTTCTAATTTGAAGGCTGGGTGCAGTGTCCCTATGGGTACTCTTCCAGGAAAGGGGTTCCCTTGTTGTATGTTGACCTAGGTCAAAGGAGTTTACTAGCTTCGTGGGCAGTAGTTTTGGGAACTGCTTTAGCTTTCAGTGGTCTCACAGGAAGCACTTTAAAACTGATGGTAATACACATTAGAAACCAGCTTCTAAAATGAGACACTGAGTTACTGAGTGACTGGAATCATCCAAAATGACAAAAGAAGCTTCTCACTTTCAATGAGTTAAAACAACTTACATTTCAAAACAGGCATCAGAAATGTTTTGAGTTTTTCTTTGGCAGTCCCATAATTCCTTGTAAGATTCATTTCTGCCTTGAGAGAGATGTTTTTGGCTTATCTCACAAGGTCACTGTGACTTGGATAGTCTTAGTGCTTGATGTGTCTTGCCATCTGTGGTTTTTGGGACTCAACCCAAGTTGTCTAATAAGAATATCACTTATTTGGACCTCAAACCCAGGTCTTTGTACTCTGACCAAATAGAGCATGTAAAAATAATTTACATTTTACAGAACAATGTAACAATTTTACCTTGGTTTCATCTTTCTTTCTTTCTACTGTTTGATCAATAAGAATCTTAGTAAGCTTAATCACTTTCTGTGATCCTATTTTGGCTGGTCAGTAGTATGCCTTGGTAGGTGTTAGCTGTTTTCCAGAGCTTTCTGAGAGCCCACAATATGCTCCTAGGCTGTATGGGATAGGAGCAGCTTTAGTTTGTCTCCGTACTTGGCTCGCTGTGGGTATTTGAGTAAAGACAACGTCTCTCAGGCCGCCGCCTGTCGCTCTCAGGTCTGGATTCCCTCGGAGGAGCTGTCAAACTGCTTTCCCTTCTTGAGCTTAGAGGAAGGTTATGTTTGTTTGTTTGTTTGTTTGTTTTGTTTTTAGCATGCTCTTTGGCAATGTGTACTACAATGTATGGATAATGTGTGTTTAGGGTTGGAATCTACTACATTCTTGACCATTTGAGTACATGGTTTCTGTATGCCCTGTTTGCTGCTGCCTCGTCTAGGAAACAAGAGGGTAAGGTAGAGCTGTAGGAAGGGCACAGGTAGAGTGACACCCATGGCAGACATAGGCGGTGGGTACTACACACACACACACACACACACACACACACACACACACACACATTGTGGGTGCACATGAGCACTGTAGGTTCCAGATTGAGTTCTATTCATTTCTACTTTAGAGTCAGGATGATACAAACAAAACCCTCTATCTGATAATGGTTTTGCGGTAAGCATGGGAATTGATTGTAACAGATTTTCTTTATCTTTGTGTGTAACTTGGAGGTCTTCAGTCATAACACCTTTCTTATTGAGTCCTTTCTTTAAGCTATAGTTTCACTAGATTTATCCACTGGCAAGGATTAACGTTTGGGGGCTGGTAAGGAAACCCTAAAGGTTAACATCAGTGCTGAAATGCTTACCTGAGTAGCATCAGCAGCATTCTTTGCTTATCCAAAGCCTCTGGGTGTAGAAAGAAAGACAAGGATGTAGTCACTCTCTCATTTATCTATTTGGGAAAGCTTGTTACTCATACCTAGTTCATAGGACCTATGTGTTTAGAATAGTAGAAAATCTATAATAGAATTCCTTAATAGACAATCCACATGGCTTTCTGCTTTTGTTGCTAAGCCTGGGGAATAGTGGTGGGTGACATTATTGCCTTTGCAGAACATACACACACACACACACACACACACACACGGAATTGGAACACAGTATTCAGAACTAGAAAACCTCATTCATTTGGTCTCTGCTGACATAAATTTATAATTATTATTTCATATCCGTAAATAACTGAAAGGTTTTTTTTTGGTTAATTATGGAAAAACAGCTTACTTAATGAACAATTAAATTAGGAATGCTTAACTTATCCAGAAAGGAAGGGCATTTAAATATCAATGATATTTAATTGCCACCACTATTCCCCAGACTTAGCAACATCTGGTTGAAATTTTACCAGGAGCAGAGAAAGAGGAATGACCCTGAACCTGGAGTTTACTTACTTCAAATTTTGACCAAGTTTTTGTCTGGGGATCAAGAGCATCATTGCTAGATCAATGCAATGGTAATATGTTCATAAGTATGCTCTTTTACTTTTGATTAGATGACAATGTGAGTAAATGGGCCCATTTCTAGAAATCAGCTTCCTGTAGATTTTTAGTAGTCTGGTAGCCAGATTTTGCTTAGTCACTATCACAATCCAAGGCACATACACAACGCTGCTTCTTAGGGTCATTTGGCAGCCGATATTCTGAATAACTAACCCTAAAGTCTTAGGACCTCTCCCATAATAGCTCCTCTAAGTTCTTCCATATTGACTTTTTCTCCCCCTGCAGACAAATAGCAGAAGGAACAGACTCCTTCAGAGTGACTACATGAACATGACGCCCCGGAGACTTGGGCCCACACGCAAGCATTACCAGCCCTATGCTCCAGCGAGAGACTTCGCTGCCTACCGTCCCTGACAGGGACCCCTATCCAGAAGCCAGCCGGCTGGTGCCCCTCCACCTGCTCAACACCACTGCTCTGGATAGGAAAGGACTGTCTCATCTTCAGCCGGCCACTTTGGACCTCTCCTGGGCCACCTTTGCTAATTGTTTCGGAGTGTCTAGATCCAACATCACGAACATCTGGAGACTCTGGAATGAATTCAAAGAAACCTCTATGGCAGGTTAAATTCTGTATACCTTAACCCAAACTCAAGTTTAGTATATTTATTGACTTGATTGAAAAGTTAAAGTAGAGAAAACAAAAAGCGAGAGGATTCATTTGGCTGTGGAAGTCAATTTTCAGGCTGCATTGAGCCTGGTTTGTGTCTCTCTCACTGGCTCATTTCAGATATGTGAAGTGTGACAGCTAAAGATGTTTTAGATGGAGTAGAAAGGCCAGAGCAGCCTTCTCTTTAGCTAAGCTGGTGTTTAAGACAGGGATAGGGTAGAGTTACAGAGCGTAGACTGAAGTATTTAAACATAATTAAAACACTGTTTCCCACCCACAAAATGAGCCACTTAGTTCCATCTTTAGTGTTTTTCTGTTAGTTTAGAAAGATGTAGACATATTTTTAATGAATTCTGACCACTTTTAATCACTTTGACCAGTGAAATGCCCTCAAAGCACCCCCAGGATTTGCTTTTCTTATTCCCTGTCATGGAAATTCAGTATTATTAATAGTCACAAGATGATTTCAAAACTAAATAGCCCTCCCACACTAGGAAGCCTGTGAGAGGAAATAAGGTCACTATATATATTTTGAATGCTGTGGAGGATTATCTGTTTAGTAGCTTGTTCCAGGCAGCCATTTAAACCATGGTTTCCTTGTTGTCTTTGTTGGTACCTGAAATGGAATACTGAAATTGCATCTATAGAGTGCTAGTCATGATACTGTGAAAAGGGGGTATTAGCATTTAGTAGGCAGTAAGGATGAGTTCCAGGGAACTTCCTCTGAGGAAGGGGATGAGGAAACTCTTGTTATGTACTCAAGAGATGGATGTTTTCTAGACTGCATCTTAGAGAGCCATGCTATGTGTTCCTTTAGACTCTAAAGTTTAGAGGCACTGTATTTGCACCAGGGCTCAGAACTGCAGAATTTTGTGAGCTCAGCTGCTTTGTACCCTGTGGATCTATTGACATGAAAAATTATTCTGGACAATGTCTTTAGGGACATCAAAGTTCTCAAGAGCATCTGCAAACATAAATTTTCTTTGCTTCCAGTTTGGGTCAACTGAAAAACATCTATGGACCTTAAAGAATGAGTCTATAGCCATCTTTGCCATTTGTTTAGTGCTTTGAATTATTCAGAGGTTTTAGAGGCCAGTAGGCCTGGTAAAAATCTCATTACTAATTGAATAGCCTCAGTCAAATTACTATTCATCTAAGACTATGATTCCTCAACTGTAAAACGGACATAATGAAACTTACTGTGATCCTCCTGCCTCTACCTCCCAAGTGTTGGGATTATAGGGGTGCACAATCATGCCCAGCTTGTAGCATAAATTTATACCTAAACTCATGAGGATCTCTCAGCTTCAATAATTTTCTAGCCAATTAGAATAGATTCTCTTGCAATCAAACATAAGGCATTTCCCCCTACTGCTGTCTTTGTATATAAAGAAGTCTTTAAACATTTTTTTTTTAATATGAGGAGGAGGAAGGGATAGGAATCTTTTCATTCTAGACAGATGACATTGTGCTCTGATAGATTTTTTTAAAGTTGGCTTCCACTCTGTGCCTTTTGTTAAACCAGCAAAGGCCAAGATCAGCCTGACTTGTGTGATGAAAGACTGCTGGCTTGACCCTGGCACTTGTGACTGCAGCCAGCCTTTGACATGTGGCATTCTTGAACTGAAGTTACAAAATTATATTTGAAGATGACATCACTGGAGAGTTTTTAGAAAGGGCAAGAGCAAATAACAAACACTTTTTTAATGGAAAAGTTTAATCCTTGATAATCAATAACTTTATTTTCTAACTGGAAAAGGACTGAAGATGAATCATACCTGAGATTTCTCATAACTCTCTGAAAAGAACCAAAGTACAGGAGTCATCGATGTTTCACTATTGGAATGAACCAACAAATGGTTTAAAAACACTGGTTTAGAGTAATGCTTTTGCCATTTTGGATGTAGTGTTTATGAGGAAAACTGTGTCATTTGCTGCTATTATTGCAAGAGTCTTGAAATTAAAGGTGTGCCTATAATTTTTAATTGTGAGGTCACCTATTTGGGATTGAGCATACCAATTTAAAGAGGCCCAGTGTACCTTATATCTGCATCCAATGATAAAATAACCACACTAACATGTGCCTGCTTTCAAACTCGTGCTTTAACGTTGTCCCCAGGACGGTTATGCAATGAATCTGGAGATGTTTTGCTATTTGAAAGAGTGTAACATAAATCTTTTTACATCTCTTGATTCTCTGTCTCTCTGTCTCTCTCTGTCTCTCTCTGTCTCTCTCTGTCTCTGTCTTTCTCTCTCGTCTCCTCCTCAACTCTGTCAAGATTTTCAAACATTGATTTCTTTTGGAAAAAATGCAACTTGTGGTTTCTTTGCTTGGCTTCAAGTGCAGCGTGTCAACAGGCCAGTGTTTTGACTCTTTGAGAGTCATGTAAGGCTGGCCTTACATGAGCTCTGTCTGCTGTGCCTGCCATGGGACAGATACAGCTTGACTGAGCCTCCAGACACTTAGTTCTTCAATCATTTAGTCAGCTAACTGAGCCACTAATCTGCATAACTGGTTGAATTGGCATACTGAGGGTCAAATAGATGTCTGATCCCTCACCCCAGTCTCTGGACTGCCACATGGGAACTACAGTTGACTTGTGTTCTCACTGAAAAATGTTAAATTCAACTACATGAGCTGGATCTGAAACCACAATACTTACTTCCATTTAGCCACCACTAACCCAGGTCATACAAAATGGGGTGGATTCTTTCAGAACTTGGGGAAGTGAGTTTGGCCTATCCAAAAAGTCAGTTGAAGCTTAAATCTTTCTTGCACTGATATGTCTATGCAAATATCAAAAGCTTGTTTCAATATCAGGGACTTTATATATACTGCATTCTCTGTCTAGAATGTTATTCCCTAGATATCTATTTGGTTTCCTCTTACTTCCTTACACATTAGCTTAAATGTTTCAACTTTCAACTGTAATTAATTACCCAATATACCCTGTCTTCTTGCCTTATTTTCCTCTATAACATGTTACCATCTCTTATACTAGATGTTTTTCTTATTCACTGATCTATTGTTTCTTTTTCTAATCTAGACTGACTCTTCATAAAGAAAAACTCCATTTTCTTTGTATTTTGTTTTGCTGTTTTCCCAGTGCTTAGAATAACGCTTAGTGTGCAATAAGTATTTATTGGCTGAATAAACGGATTTCACATGGGCTTATGAATTAATGGTGACTCTAAATGATCTAATCACACTCTGAGAGGGAAAGAATCAGTTCTATTTTCCACTCCTTAGAGACATGAGAGGTAAAGCATATGCAAAGAAATCTGGTGAAATAACATTTAATTTATATAAGTTAATTTACAGTTTAGAAATTTTTGTGTAATCTGAAAAAAGTACAGTTATAATAATTTTAAAAATGGCATTCTAAACAAACCTATTAGGAGAAAGTTGATTTTCCATTTAAAGTTCCTCAATTCTCTCTTAATTGGTTGTTGATAATGTTTTATTTTCTTTTATCTTCATATTTTGAAATAAATGTTTATTTCATAGACAAATGTCAAGTGCAAATAAGGCTTTTATATTTTATTTATTTTTGTAATTTTATTTATTTATTTTTAAATTTCACTTTACATTCCAACCACAATTTTCCCTCATACTCCTCCTCCTGTCTCCTTTACCTACCCCTATTTCTCCCCCCATCCACTCCCATGGGGAGTCAACAAAGTCTGGCTCATTAAGATTGGACAGGACCAAGCCTCTTCCTCCTGCATTAAGGCTGAACATGCATTCCACCATAGGGATGGGGCTCTAAACTAGCTCATGCATGTACCAGGAATAGATCCTGGTCCTACTGCCAAGGGCGCCTCAGACAATCCAAATTTCATCACTGTCTCCTAGTTCAGTACCATGGAGATTTCGCAGCTGTTGGCCTAGAGTTCATAAGTTTCTACAAGCTTGATTCAGATGTCTCTGTAGATTTCTATATCATGATCTTGACCTCCCTTGCTCATACCTTCCCTACTCCCTCTCTTTGACTGGATTCCTGGAACTCGACTTGTTGCTTGGTTGTGGATGTCTGCATCTGGTTCCATCAGTTACTGGATGAAGGCTCTCTGATGAGAGTTGGGGTGCTCATCAATGTGATTACAGGGAGGCAGTTCAGGCTCCCTTTCTACTGTTGCTAGGAGTCTTAGCTGAGGTCATGCTTGTAGATGCTTGGGAGTTTCCATCTCACCAGGTTTCTCCCTAACCCCATAATGGCTGTCTATATCGAGATCTCTCTTTCAAGCCAGGTGATGGTGGCACGTGCCTTTCCCAGCACTTGGGAGGCAGAGGCAGGCAGATCTCTGTGAGTTCGAAGCTAGCCTAGTCTACAAGAGCTAGTTTCAGAACTGGCACCGAAGCTACAGAGAGGCCTTGTCTCAAAAAGGAAAAAAATCTCTGTTTCATTCCTCTCTCACTCTGCCCTCTCTTCCCTCGACCATCCAGTTCCCTCATGTTCTCATCTCATTTCCTCCCCTTTACCACCACCCTCACCCCAGTTTACCCAGGAGATCTCATTTAATTCCCTTTCCTAGGGCAATCCATGTGTCCCTCTTAGGGTCCTCCTTGTTATCTAGCTTCTCTGGAACTGTGGATTGTAGTCTGGTTATCCTTTGTTTTATGTCTAATATCCACTTATGAGTGAGTACATACCATGTCTGTCTTTCTGAATCTGGATTACCTCACTCAGGATGTTTTTTTTCCTAGTTCCATCCATATGCCTGCAAACTTCATGATGTCATTGGTTTTTACAGCTGAGTAATATTCCATTATGTAAATGTACCACATTTTCTTTATCCTTTCTTCAGTTGAGGGGCATCTACATTGTTTCCAGCTTTTGGCTATTATAAATAATGTTGCTATGAACATTGTTGAGGAAGTGTCCTTGTTGATTGAGTATCCTTTGGGTTTATGCTCAAGAGTGGTATTAATGGGTACAAATTAATTAATTTGATACTTTTTATTTATTTGTTAATGGGACTGGGGAGATGGATCAGTGGTTCAGAGCATGGGGTGCTCTTCCAGAGACCCCGACTTTAATTCCCAACACCTACATCTGATATTCTTCTTTGGCCTCCATGAACATCAGGAATTCTTGTGGTGCAACTGGCATACATTTAGACAAAACATCCATACACATAAAATAAGCAAATAAATATAATTTATTTGTTGACAATTTTATATATGTATATGATGTATCTTGATAAAATTCATACCTAACTCCTCACCACCATGTCCCCTGGATAGTCCTCAATGCATCTCCCTTTCATTTTCATGTTCTCCCCTTTTTCTTTATTTTCTTTTTTGGTAGTCCACTCAATCCATTTAGTTGCTACTTGTTGGAATGCTTGCCAATCTTATTGGCTTGCCCTTGTCCAGGTCTTGTGCAGGGAGGGGATCATAGCTGCTGTGAGCTCATGAGTGCCAGGTCCAGAGCACAGCATCTCACACATTCCTCACACTCTCCAGCTCTTACATTCTTTTAGTTCCCGTGGCTATGATGTGCCCTGAGCTGTGGAGGAAAGGTTGATTAAATGTCCCTGAGCACTCAACAGTCACTCATTCTCACCAACATGACTAGTTATGAATCTTTGCATTGCTACTCAGTGCAGGAAAGAGGTTTGTTTACCCAAGGCTGAGAGCAGCACTAATATATAGGTAAAAATGGAAATATTTAGAAGGCAGTCTTCATGTCCGTTTGGAAAAACAATAGTAGTAGTTTCCCTGTTGTGACCCATGAGTCATGGACTTTTGACCAGGTTTATAGTATCAGGCCTCAATTTCCTTCTGTGAAGTAGGACTCAAATCAGAAAAACAACTGGTAGCTCTTATAATCTTCTTGCCACTGTTACAACTCTGGGCACATCTTGTCTGGAGGTTGACAGTGTAGCCTTCAGGATCCAGTTCTAGGTGAGACCTTTTATAACCCCTCCCCAATCCCCAGTTACTTGTAAAGCACACCTCACACTATGAAAGTTAGTCAACCTTTTTTTTGAGAGAGAAGTTCTCAGTTCAGTTCTAGGTTGATTTCTCTGTTCCGTGATCAAACAATGTTGTATGTTCAGCAATAGGACTTTACTGCATGGTTAAGGTGAGCAACCAAGAGCAATGACAATAGCCTGTGTTGTTTTGTGAGCCTCTGCAGTCTCTGTGACTAATAATTTGTAGGGACATATCCCATGCCTGGCACTGAGGTTTTTCATTTAGAATCCATGCTTTCTGGGGAATGCATTTTGTCAATGCTTTAAACCTATTTTTGCTTATGATTTCTGAAAATATGGCTTTTGTAGTTAAAAACTCACCCTACAGCTGAATTACTACTCTTTTCTATGGAGTGATTTTTATCCCAATGAAGTCTATAAATGCCTTGTTTGGCTCTGATTCAAAAAGATATCTTTGGTGAGGACACAAAATGTCAATATCTTCACCTGTCATATGTTTGTGGCATAGTGGATGCTTGAAAGGCATGCAACAGCTTCAACAAAAGAAAACAACAAAAGACGAAAATTTATACCAAATCAATATTTAACACACATGTCACCAGAGAAGGGGAACTGGGGGAGGAAGAATGTATGTGGAGTAGGCCGACCCTTGAACCGCAGACACAAGAGTTTGTCTGGTGCCTGATAATCCATGTAACTGTTTCCATTTAGCCTCAAGCTTTTCTTTGAAGATGCCCTGGAGTAAAAAAGGTGAATAATTAATTCATCTTTAAACACACTTTTTCTTTTCTTGCAACAAGACTTATTAAATTTAGCAAATGTAATAAAATCTTAAGAAAAATGAACTCACATGCCTGGTACTATTCAAGAAAGACTGGACTCAACTAGCTTCACAGATGTTTCAACAGAAAATCAGATCAACTGAAAAGGTACCAGATTGATAAATGTGAAAAATTCAGCTACTGCACAAATCTCAGCAAGGAAATCTTTATTGTATTAATGAAAATTATATAACCCATCTCTGTTAGAAAAGAAAAGTTCAAGTACCTTCAAACACCTCTTCAAGGTGGAACACAATGCAGATTTCATAACATCACCAGACAGACCCCTCTGCCATGTCTTAACTGTAAAAATGTGCCAATTTACAAATAACAACCCCAAGTGCACTTTTTTCCTTTGTCTGGGAATTAAGTCCAGGACTTCATGTAGGCAAGTACACAACACACAACCAGCTGAGCAGCATCCCCAGCCCAGATCAATTTCCTTTGATAGTGGGGAGAGTAAAATATATATAAATAAATATATATTATATATATATGTCATATATATAATATATGTTCATGTACTTGCATGTGTGTGCATATACACGTTGATGATGGCTATCTTGCTCTATTATTTTGCACTTTATGTTTTGAGGCAGACTCTCACTTAGTCTTAGGACTCTCATGCCAGTGAGCTCCAGTAGGTTCCTGCCTCCACCTTCCCAGCCCTAGTATGACAGACAGGGAAGCACCAATGCCTGACTCTTTATGTTGAAAGACCAGGATAAATCCAGATCCCCTAGCAGGAAAAAATAGAGCCAAAAATCTAATCAGGGAGGGAAGAATCAGAAATCTAGGATTAGCCGGTTCAGTGTTTCAGGAACTAGCTGAAGATAAAGTTAGATTGTAATCTTGAGAATAATCTTGAGAAACAGGGAGTTTCCCCCCTTATGATTATCATTGGTATTTTTGGGATACTGTGTTTCAGGAACTAGCTGATTATAATCTTGAATAACCTTGAGGAACAGGGAGTTGCCCCCTCGCGAACATCACTGGATCTCCCTACCCCTTTTGGATTACTGGGCTGTGGTTTCTTCCCTTAAAAACCCCTTCTCCTAGCTACTCGGGGTCGAACTCTTCCCCTGCGTGGGTTCTGAGTCTTGGCCCCAGTGCACTGGTTCTCGTCTCGATTAAAACCTCATGTGATTGCAGCAAGGACAGTCTCTCGTGAGTTACTGGGTGGGAGGGGGTGTCGCGTCCTCCTGAGGCTTGAGTGAGAGTCTCCCCATATCGGGGGTCTTCAGTGTGAATGCTTGGATCCTTGTGCTTGTGCAGCAGGTCCCCCACTGACTGAGCTACGCCCCTAGACCCACGTTCCTCTTTAAACAATATTGTTTGTCTTCTTTCATTGTATCTGGAACAGAGATAATGGAAAGGTAAGACAAATGGAAGGAGTATCTGGACTTACTGCGATGGAGGTCTGATCACCACAGTAAAAAGCACCACAGAAGTGGCCCCGGAACCATCTCAGAAACTTGCTGGGACTGTGCTTCTCCTGGACTCTGGGAACTCTCCTCCACTGGGGCTCAATTGACTTGCTCGCAATGGTCCTCAGGAGTTTGGTTCCTCAGAAACACACTTTTCCCCATCTGGCATTCTGAAAGAAAGGTGTGTGTTTATTTTGTTTTGTTTTGTTTGCTTTAAGATTCACGAACTTCTGGCTCTTAAACTCCAGATCACTTTCAGAGCAGGATGTGGGGCCCTAGCTTACTTGCCTTTTGCTCATTTCAGAGTTCACATTGAACGAAATGCTTGAAATCACTTGCGTTGAAAGTTGGGGGTCCAAGAATGTGTTAGATTTCCTGAGCTGATCTCATTCTTTGGGCCAAATCAGAAGTCAGAGTCCCTGCTTTGTACAGGCCATACCTTTTTCTTTTGCCCATTTGACTCTGTGAAAGGATTTGATGGGCTACAAACTCAAGGGGACAAAGAGTTGTAGAGTGGGTTATTTGCATTTCAGTCAAAGGTATCTCACTGGCACATAATCTCCTTTGTCTCCAAAGAGCATACTGTGAGTTGGGTGGAAATGTCGGTTGAGACAGAAGAGCAGCAAACAGCTTTGTTTTCCTATAGTTGTGGTTTTACACGGCGATGGTGACACACGAAGATGAAAATGCAGCATGAACTCCAGTTATTATCTGAGTGAGCATCTCTGCCAGAGCTGAAGGATATGTGTGGGTGTCACCTGCAAGCAGAGAGAGAGAGAGGAAAGAAGAGAGGGAGGGAGAGAGAGAGAAGCAGGGGGAGGAAGGGAGGGAGGGAGAGGGTACAATAGGTGAGTTTGAATTAGCAACAGTGAAGTTAGCCAGAGTCATATGGATATTTTTTCAATCTGTGTACACACTGAACATCTGATATGTTGGCTTCCAAAGTGGGGATTTTTGCTAACTTCCGGGAACCAGTGATGTATGTTATACATAGTAGACTAACTGGAGGTTGCTATGGGGACACTCTTTCATTCCCAACAGTGTGCAGCTCATGTTTCATTTGCTTTATGCTTCTTTCTCCAGTCTTCCTCTTCATTCACCAACAACTGTTTAAGGACCGTCTTCCCATTTCTGAAAAGTGAGCTGGGTCCAGGAGATATAATAGAAAGTAGCACTGTTTTTCTTATCTCTGCATGTACCAAACAGAGTATATTTTTATAACTCTTCACATCCCAGTCCCTATTCATTATACTCTGCTCTCCTGGCAGACACCTAGTCTTGACTGTAGAACTTCGACCCTGTGAATATACGTGTTCACCTTTGCTTTCCTGATTTGCCTGAAATTTATTTTTCTGAGATGGTCTTGTTTAATATCTCTAACATCTTTATGTTCTCAGACTAGAAACTGAATTTTTTCTTTTAAGGAACAGGTAGTACATATAATAGGGTTGGTGACTGCATAGTTTCTTGTAGTTATTTCAGTCTGTCATTGTATTATAAACATAGACATAAATTAGTAGGATTAACTTATTTATTCATTTCAACAAACCTTTATTTGTAGATATTGGTGTTTGATTTTCATGTAATTTTTTTTTATCAGATATTATGATTCCCTTGATTCCTCAACACTCATTCTAGCCATATGCACATGTAAAATTCGTTCTCAAGCTCGTGGACTGTACAAAGTCAGACAGTGGCTAGGCTTGGCCTGTAGGTGCAGTTAGGTGGCCCCTAAGATAGAACCAAGCTGCTTCAAGCTTTGAACACCAGCCATCATCTAGAAAGGGACCAGTCTGAATTTGTGTAAAGATCTTTGGAGAGTGGTAAGTACGCAAGTAACTGTTTGGAAAGAAGGGATCATGGATCTGTGGAGAATGAAGGAGAAACTTCACCTCTCAGAAAGTTGTCCTGGGGAGAGAAAACAGGAATTCAGAGGTAAAAGGAATGCAATTCCTCTGGAAATGAGTGCTAAAAGTCTAAAAATGTTTACGAACTGTTGTTGCATTTCCCTTGCTCTTTTCTCTTGTGTCTAACCATCAAATCTTTGTAATCTCCAGGGAAACAAAGTAAAATTTTATTCACAGTCCGCTGGGGGAAGAATATGGCCTGTGTCCAAAGTAATGAAAAAGATTGATTTCTTCTGCAAATCCTTCCGCATGGAGCACACTCCACTCCAGTGTACAGTGGGTGGGACGAGAGCAGAAGGAGCTGCCTCAGGACTGACCTCCCACCACTTCCCATGACTTTTTCCATCAAAATTATCTACTATTTATAGATGACCAGGAGTGGCACCCCACCCCAAGTCCAAACTAAGTCTTAACATTTCACAGGTAATGGCAAAGTCAGTTTTACACAGATCAACAACACGCTGGCCTGACCTTTGCCAACCCTTATCATCACCCCACCCTGCCTGTCTACAGCTGCTGGTTACACCCAAGGTACAAATAGTTCTTTCTGGAAACAGTGTAGTCTATGGGGCATTCTGAGCCACACACCCTTTCGTGCCATCTGGACATTTTAAAAATAGGATCAAATGTAAGATTCAGCTTCGTTTGTGCAGCCAAGAATAGGAAATTGCCGCCAAAAGGTCAGAAACCTAAGATTGATTATGCTAACAGTCTAGAATATCAGGAGTGGATATGCCTTTGTTAGCATGGCATATCCTGGCTTTACACCCATTCAAGTTAAAGTTCAGGTGAACAGCCTCAGGAACTCCAAGACTTTTCTTACATGTAATGTAGGGTTACTATGTATTTCCTGCACAGGGGCCTCTCTAGAGAAGGGATAAGAAAAACTGAAATCTATTCAGCCTCCTCTTAGGAAGCTATGAAAGAAGAACATACTTATCCTCAGTGCTTCATGTGGCACCCAGTGCGACACTTCTACCCTTTGGTTAGTGAGCTTTATAGTGTGAGGCACACTACCATCCTCAAATAGAAATGACCCAGGATGAAAACCACTAAAAACAAAACAGAAAAGCAGTGGTCCTGACGACTATAAACACTTCGCTCCTGGGTTATTTCTGTCTTCCCAGCCCCTTAACTCTGCCCTCTTTCAGTGTGTTGCTTTTTGTCCCCATCTAGTGAGGCTAGAAATGTAAGAATAAACTCCCTAGTCTAGATCTCAGAAGGAAATTAAGTGGTACTGTGTTTTTTAGAATAACAAGTAAGTTAGGGGTTAATTCTTTTGTGGCACAAAGGCAGATCTCTATTTTTTTCTTACTTGTGTATGAAAGGATTAGACAAAGTGACTTCTGGGCCTAATACTTTTTATATTCCATATTACAATTGCTTTATTTTATTTTTTTCATATTATGATTTATATACACACATATATTTTTGAGATTTGTCAGTTGAGATTATTTGAATAAGCTTACAATTTCTATACACATAATACTCACTAGAGGTTAAGAGTACTGACTGTTCTTCCAGAGGTCCTGAGTTCAATTCCCAGCAATTACATGATGGTTCACAACCATCTGTAATGAGGTCTGGTGCCCTTTTCTGGCCTACAGGCATACATGCAGGCAGAGCACAGTATACATAATAAATAAATCCTTTTAAAAAATTATGAGTCACTTTTTCTTAAGGACAATTATTTGTGGATTTAGACTAAAAATACTTGTGACATTAGTGGGTTTTCTGGTGTGAACTTAATTTAAAAATCACCTTCACATAATAGCATGAAAACCTATTTCATTGTTTTTAAAAGTTCAACATTTCCCTAACAATCCTAGTGATTATTAAATTCTTCACAGTTGATTATAACATATGGACGTCTTGACTGTGAGCAGAGAGACCAAACAGCTGACTAAATGAGTAGACTGTCTTCATTTGAGAGATGCACACAAGCTGTTTTATCTTTTGGTGAGTCAGATGAACTAGACATCATGAAAAGTCTTGGGAAATTTGAAAACTACTGATAAAACTAACAATTTCTTAAAATGTCAAAGTGTATTTTAGTACTATGTATCTTAGGACATTGCTCAGGCACTCAAAATCAAAAATTGTATCCTCTGACTTGGCAACAAACGGAACTCTGAATATATTATTTTCCCTCTGTATGCTTTCCAGGAATTCGAAGGAGCTGATTATTTTAAATCTAAGCTACAGCAGTAGTAAGTCTCTCATCCATGACTGGTTCTCACATGCATAGACACGATACAATTCTAACCATTAAGAGGGTGTGTCCCAATGAAACTGGTTATATTTCTCCTTGTTCCTAAAAGAGGTATTTCAAAATAAAAAATATTAGAATATTAAGATATCCTTTTTTTTTTTTTTTGACTGTTGTGTCTTCAAGCAGTATCTGGATTCTGGGCGGACTTGACCTAGGCAGGGCAGGCTAAGAGAAAAACAAAGAAGGTGGCTGAATCCTGGAAATGTTGAGCTGAAGACTGAACTACTGAACTAACCCTGAAAGTATCTTTTTTCAGCTTCCTGACATGGCTGACAACAAATAGCTTTGTTATTTAAGCCATTTGGTTTGAATTTTCTTATTACATGAAGAAACTCAAATCCGATCTAAGAACTTCATGTTGACTGGCATGTATATATATGTGTGTGTGCGCGCGTGTGTGTATGCGTATATACGTGTGTATATATGTATATGCATATATATATGCATATACACATACACACATACATATATTATACATTATTTGGAAAAATAAAGAACGGAATAGTACCTTACTCTCTTGATATGCTCAGTTATTAGTCTCTAACAACCTGGAGAACTAAATGTTATCAGTATAGTTAGAATGTTCTTATCTCAGAACAGATGAAATTCAGGTTACTGGCTTTTTTGAAATATTGTCTGCTAGGTTACTATAAGTTGGAGAAAAGCAGAGGATTCAAGCAATCATTTAGGTTTTCTCCTCTTAAAACTTACCACCACCATTGCTTTACTAAACCAGCAAAATCTCTAATTGTCTTCTAATATATTTAGGACGTTTATCTCTCATCAAGGAAACTTACTGTTGAAGGAGGCCACTTGTTGTTTTCCAGCTGCCCAGTCCCGAAATAATCACACAGGAACTATATTATTTAAATTACTGCTTGGCCCATTAGCTCTAGCTTCTTATTGGCTAACTCTTACATATAACTTTAGCCTACCTCCATTAATGTCTGTATTACTATGTGGCAGTGGTCAACTGGGTAGTGTTCTGGTGTTTGTCTCTGGCAAGGCTACATGGCTTTTCTCTGACTCTGCCTCTTTTTTCCAAGCATTCAGTTTAGTTTTCCACTCCTATCTAAGTTCTGCCTTATCACCAGGCCAAGGCAGTTTCTTTATTCACCAATGGTATTCATAGCATACAGAAGGAAATCCCACATCACCTCACAGCATACAGAAGGAAATCCCACATCAACTTCCCTTTCCAACAGAAAACCACAATGAATCAAAGGGCAGAGTTGTAGAGTACCACCTGATAAATCTACAATATAACTCCTGCATCTAAAACTCAGGATCATTGTGGAAGAGGGGCTGGAAAGACTTAAGATCCAAAGGAACAGGGAATTTGTCGTGAGATTGTATCTCTTAAGAATGTCAGAAGCCACATCCATAATGTCTCAACACCATGACTGCCTAAATATGAGCTGAACAAGGACAAGACAAAAGACATGCTAACGTGGATGGGGGCAGTGACCCATGAGTCCTCAACCCTACACAAAGAACTGCAGGCAACTAAAGAATGCTGAGAACCCTTTCCCTAGTTTCTTCCTCAGCCCATTCATCGTTTGGGTATAGGAGGCCTACTGATTTTTTTTTTTTTTACTTTATTTTGTATCCATCCACTTTACTAAGGTGGTTATCAGCTGTAGGAGTTCCCTGGTAGAATTTTGAGGTCGTTTATGTGTACTATTATATGTCTGCAAATAGTAATACTTTGGCTTCTTTCTTTCCTGTTTGTATCCCCTTGATCTCCTTTTGTTGTCTTATTGCTCTAGCTAGAACTTCAAGTACTATATTGAATAGATACAGAGAGAGTGGACAGCCTTGTCTTGTTCCTGATTTTAGTGGAATTACTTTGAGTTTCTCTCCATTTAATTTGATGTTAGCTGTTGGCTTACTGTATATTGCCTTTATTATGTTTAGGTATGTTCCGTATATCCCTGATCTCTACAAGACTTTTCCTACAAGTTATTCTGGGAAAAAGGTGGCAAAGAAATTAAGGGAGTGGCCAACCAATGACTGGCTCAACTTGAGACCCATACTATGAGAGGGAACCCACCCCAGACAATGCCGGGAGGGTCAGGACTCAGAGGTTGGACAGTTCAGAGACTTAGGATACAACCAAACATGACTGACAAAAAAGAAAAAATGTCAATGGAATGATTTCTAATGAGATTTTACTGTACTCATAGATTGTTGTCTAGCCTGATTGTCATCAGAGAGACTTCCCCTAGGAATTGGTGAAAATAGATGCAGAGACTCACAGTTAAATATTAGAAGGACCTCAGAGAATACTGTGAAAGAATGGGGGGAAGGATTGTGGGAGTCAGAGAGACCAAAGACATCATGAAAATACACAGAGTCAACTGACTTGGGTTCATGGGTTTCACCGAGACTGAACTATAAGCCAGAGAACTTGCATGGGACCAACCTGGGCTACTTTGCACATGTGTTGCAGTTGTGTGGATTGGTCTTCTTGTGGGACTCCTGGCAGAGGGATCTGGGTCTGTCTCTGATTCTGTTATCTATGCTTGTACCCTTTTCTCCTGCTCAGTTGCCTCATCCAGCCTTAATAGGAGAGGAGGTGCCTGGTTTTACTGCAACTTGATATTCCATGGTGGCTGATGTACATGAAAAGCCTGTACTTTTCCAAAGGGAAGAGAGAGGGAATGGATGGGGAAGAGGGTGCTGGGAGGACGGGAGGGAGGAGAAACTGGGATCAGTCTGGGAAAAATTAATTAATTGATTATTAATAAAAAAGATCTTAAAAAAAGAATGCTGAGAGCAGGAGAAATAGTCTTCCTCAGGGAAGAACACATCAATTGGTTATCCAATATCAAATAGTCAGCCCTGAAAATATATACATATAATCACATGAGTCAAACTAAGCAGGTTGTATTCATGTATTTAGGAACACACACACCAACAATTAATGAAGAAGGAGGTCAAGAATTTGAAAGAGAGTTAGAAGGTGTGCATCTGAAGATTTGGATTGAAGGAGGGGAAATGATGTAAACACACTATAAACTAAATAAATAAAGAAATAGAAAATACTCTTTCTCTTTTTATATTAATTGATGCTCTAGAAGGAGCCTGGGAGAAGTAGAGTTTTGCTTTGAAATAAACAGAAAAGTAGGAATATTACACTACTTTCCAGAGTCCCCTCAAAACACAGCATTAGGCTAAGATTTTCCTATGACCCAAAGTCTCTTTCTCCCACTGTACCCCCTAATTTAAAATCTTCTTAATTTATTGAATTTAAAATATACTTACATTTAAAAATGTTTAAATGCTACTAAAATTTCGATCAAAAGCCTATTTCTTTTTGAATAGTACCATACCTTGTTTTATTTTTAAAATGTCTATTTATTGTTTTGTGTGAGGGATACACACATCATGGTATGTGTGTAGATGTCAGAAGACAACTCTGTGGGGCTGGTTCTCTTTTCCACCTTTGCATGGGTTTCAGGTTTTGAACTCAGGTCATTAGGCTTCATGGCAAATGCTTTAATCCACAGAGCCATCTCTTTGGCGCCCTGTTTTTCTCTTAATGAAATCTAGATGGACAATTGATTGGTCTTAAAGCCAATATAAGTTCCATTTAAGGCAGAGGTTTGAATGACCCTTTCATGGGAATTTCATATCAGATATTCTGCATATCAGACACTTACATTATGATTCATAATGGTAGAAAAGTTACAATTATGAATTAGTAATGAAATAGTTTTATGGTTGAGAGTCACCACAACATGAAGAGTTGTATTTAAGGGCTGCAGCATTAGGAAGATTGAAAATCACTGATTTAAGAGACAGTTAAAGGACAAAGATAGGAGACTATTACAGCCTGGTGATGAGGTGGAATGACTATTTTTATATGTGCATCTCTTAGGGGAGGAAGCAGAGTTATCACCATTTCCTTTCCACACAGGTTCTACTACTAGCCATACTCATCAGTTACGCACCAGTGTGTCTCCTACCCCACTGTCCCTGCTGACACCGCTAGCAACACGTTCAATCTTTGCAAATTTGGTAGTGTTGAAATAGTATTTGACAATCATGATAATTTGCAATTCACATTTTAAGAATTAAATATGCATCTTTTCATCTGATCAAGCCACTTATATTTCTTTTTATTATATTTCTTTACTATATTTCTTTTTGACCTGTCCACCCTTATTCATGATTCCCGTTTTTTTTTTCAGTCTAATTGTGTGTGTATGTGAATATTTTAAATGTAGGACACCCTTAAGGAAAATATTCCTTTACATGCAAAGTACGTATTTTTTATTTGTGCTAAATTTGACCTAGGGGTAGGTGTAGTCCCTGTTCTTAAACAGGTCCCAAGCAACCAGGATTTATTCCTTGTTTAGTCATCTTGTCTGTGATAAAACTATGCATATGGGAGTGGGAATGACTCAAGGAAGTAGACATGAAGTAGTGAATCCTGAAACAGCAGAAACCCTCAGCTAAGTGATGAATGAGGGAACGCTGCATTTAGATCCAGGGGTCATTTCTATAAAACTATAAACATGGTGCCTCTGAGGAGTCCCACACGTGAACTCAGGGAGCCAGGGAAGTGTGAGAGATTGTAGATAAGGCTTAATAGAAAGACCAATATGTTGGTAAAACTCTTTGTGTAGAAGAACTTGGAGTTTACCCAAGAGCAGTGGATAAGTACTATAGCTACCATTGTGGGACCCAGATCTTGCAGCTGTGCATTGGGTGTTCCCACTAAACACCTGTGTCATTTTTGTTTCCAGGGTCCCAGATGACGAGGGGTTGGTGCCGTTGCCATGACTTGTACCATCAGTATCTTAATGAAGGACTTGGCAGAATGAACTTGATATCTTGTTGATATCATGGAAGACAAACTTAAGAGAGGGATGATAAATCTTTGCTGTAGGAAATCCTTCAGTCAGTAGACTTTAAGTTACTCACCCACTTGGGCATGGCTTCTTATACTATAAATGCTGATATAAAATGCATGCTCTCTCTCTTCTTGCTGCTGGTTTCAGTTGCTGTTCCCCGTTCAAGCAGAGGACCGTGGTCTAACCCTAAATAAACAACCCTTTATTATACATAATTCTGACCAATGTAGAATTTCTTTGTAGTGTCCATCTTCATCTGGCGCCTTACATAGATCCCAACTCCACACCTACTGGGTGGTCCAGTCTAAAAGACCCGACTAGTCCAAGGCCCAGAAGGTCTCCTACCCCTGACCACCTGGCTTACTTTCACCTACTAAGCGAGCCCCCCACCGCACCGCCACTGCTGTGTCCCCTGCTACTCAGCGTCTTGTGCAGCTTCCAGTTTGTGTTCCCTACTTGTGAGCTCTGGGCTCCTTGCTCCATGTACGGAATTGATTTAATTACTATAAATTTGTCAAGCAAAGCATATTTGTCAGTATTTAACCAGGCACCAAGGTGAAAAACCAAAGTGGTGAAGGACTGTTCTTGCTTCCACCAGTTGGACAGCTGCTGGTTGCAACTCTTTGCCACATGGCTACAACCATGACACCTGCTGGACAATAGAGATTATTACACCTAAAACAATAGATCGAATCTTATAACAAAGGTAACTATTTGATTAATAAATAAATCAATAAACTTGAAAGTTACATAATTTCAAACATTATTACCATCCAAAATTTTAATAAACTTTTTGTAATGGATTATATTCTGCAAGGTTTATATGGTTATTGTGATATATCCAATTTATTGGATATTGAAACTCAGTTTTTTTCTTCATATTATATCCTTAAGAGAATGGTTTGATAACAGAGCCAAAAATGAGGCACTTTTAGAAATGATACAGTCTTTCCAGACTAATAAGGAACAGCTAACTGACAAGATTAATACTATTGAAAATCAAAAGTTACCTGAAAAAAATTAACACTATTGAAAAGGATAACATTAATTTTTACAAACAAAATTCAATCCATGTTAAAGGGTACTGAGAAATTATCTGAAAGAATTCATACTGTTGAATTTCACAATCATGACCTCTTAAATATTTTTAATAGGTTAGAAGATAGAGTATCTCTCCAGGAAGGCAATGTGCATGCTATCTAAATAATGTCCAGGGATGAGATAGTATCTTTAAAGGAAGAACTTCAGACCTTGAAATCGCATGGCAGAATAAGGACCTGAGGCTAGCTGCCACAATGAAATCACTAGAAATACATACAGGCCAGAAGATTTAGGCTTTACAAAAAACAGTAGTAAAACGATTTGAAACAACTGAGTAAATTATTGAAGCTGATGAGCAGGTAAAGAAGGTACAAGGACAGGATTCAACATTTCCAGCAGCTGTCAGAGATGACTTACCCAGGGTTTTAGCTTCCTACCCTGTAATCTACTCTGACAAAGAATCAGGTTCTAATTGCCCAAAAAGATCCAAAGAAGGTAGATGAATAAATATAGGAATGAATGATCTAAAAGAAATTAGGCAAGCAATAGTATCTTCTGGCTTGTATTTAGCATTTGTTAGGGAGACGGTAAAGGCATGAACTTCTAGCAATAAGGCCACCCACACGAGTGGCTTCAATTAGTTTTAGCAGTCCTGGATAATGATCCACAATTACTGTGGAAATGTTATTTGTGAGAAGAGGCAAAATTTTAGAACAGCAGGAAAGAACAAAAGGACTTAAGATGTCCCAAGATCAAATTCTTGGTGAGGGCACTGATGATGACCCACAGGCTCAAGCTCTTTACGATGAACAAGTCTTGTCCCTATGCCACAAAGCAGTGTTAAATGCTTGGGAAAGGATTCAAGAACTAGGAAAATAAATTGAATCATATACCAGGGTTAAACAAGGCCAGAGAAAACACTTTATTGACTTTTTACAAAACTAACTAATGCTATACAAATAGGAATAACACACCCAGATGCTAGACGAGTACTTATTGAATCTCTGGCTTTTGAGAATACCAACTTAGAATGCAAAAAGATACTTGGACCTTTAAAGGTTATATCAGCATTAATGGATGAACGGATCCTGCATACATTGAACATTGAGACATTTGACTATAATATTAAATCTTGGGAAGGAGAAGCAATTTCCAAAGGTATGAGGAGACATCAAAATACGAAATGTTTTAATTTTGGTAGAATAGGATATCTGAGAAGGGATTGTAGACAAGGAATTTCTAGAAATAATGTCAGTTCTAGGAATGGCAAAAATAAAAGGTACCAACCTTCTGGATTATGTAGAAGGTGTGGCAAAGGTTGACATTGGACTAATGAATGCACATCAACAAAGAACAGAGAAGGTAAAGGAAACTCCTTGGGGAGGGGTCTCTCACAGGCCCCCAAGTCAAGAATGGTCTAGTAATTCCCAGCCACTTTAGAATTTTGGCTTCTTCAAGAGGCAGATGTTCTATTACTAGGAATTGGAACTCTATCTCAAGAGAAATAAAGCATGAGGTAGGCTGAATGCATAGAGCCAGAAGGACAGAGAGAAAGGCTGAGGCCGTATGTGGCTAATGTCACAACGACTTTATGGTTTCATGACCTCCTGCAGCAAAGGAATACCCAGCTTAACATTTCTGCAGTTGCAAAAACTCATATTTCTGGGAAGGATATTATAAGGTACTACATACAAAGGTCACCAGCCATTCAGGTTGTAGAAGAACTGTAGTGAGGGGCTGCGGGCAGGCCTGCTTTTCGCCTCACCCGGCTCCCGCACGGCTTGCTTAGTCCCAGAAATAACAACACACAAATTGTATTCATTTAAGCACTGCCTGGCCCATTATCTCTAGAGAGTTAGTTACTGACTAACTCTCATATCTTGATATCAACCCATTTCTAATAATCTGTGTAGCACCACGAGGTGGTGGCTTACCGGAAAAGATTCAGCATGTCTGACCTGGTGACTGGCTCCATGGCTTCTGCCTCATAGCCCTCTTCCCAGCATTCTGTTCTGTTTACTCCTAATTTTCTGTCCTATCAAGGAGTCAAGGCAGTCTCTTTATTGACCAATGAAAATAACACAATAAACAGATAGCCCTCCTCCATCATTTCCCCTTTTTCTGTTTAAACAAAAAAGAAAAGCTTTCATTTTAACATAGTAAAATTACATATAACAAAACAGTTATCAAGCAAGAATTACAGTCACAATATTTATAACTATATCTTTATCATAATAATGGAAAACTATAACTATGACTATCCATTCTTCAATTCCATCAAAGACTCCAGAAGGATATAATATTACCTAAATAAACAAGAAGTAAGCAACTTCCAAAACTCTAGAAATGATAGAGACATCTCGCTGCCTGGACAGTCACCCAAAGTTCCTCTGTATCATTGGGGCACCCATCTTCGGCCTTCAGGCCCATAATATCCGGAGACATTTCCATGAAGCAGGAAATTTGAAAGACAGTTCAGTCACTATCTGCTGTGTCCTGCAGAATGTCTCGCGGACTCTTTCATGAATCAGGAACCCCGAAAGATCATCTCACCTTTAGGCAAGTTCAGCAGTCCTCTCTCTGTGGGTTCTCTGTGTCCAGTTTATACAACAGTCCAGGCAAGAACAGTTTCTTGCCCAAAATGGCTATCAAACTCCATAAGGAGCCTCTTTGATGCCCATCTTCCTCTTGAAGTAGATTGGTGCTGCCAGGAGCAGACGTGTCTCATTGTCATGAAAAGTCCTAAGTTATTAAAACATTAAATGCCATGTTACATAGTCTTTGAAAGATATGAAGAATGCATATCTGTAATATATCTATGCACATCTAGAAAATCAAACTAACATTACTACAAGCTTGACTATTATCAATGATTATCCATTAACAACCTATATTTTTAATTATACATTACATTTTTAAGTAAAAAGTTAAAAACTTATGTGGAAATATTCTCTGTATTAATTAATTATTAAATGAAAGTTGAGACTTTGTCAGCTTGCAGGAATAGACCCAGCAGAGATTATAGTGTTTTTTTTCAATTGATGAAATTAAAAAAAATTATGGGAAAACAATGAACCTTGACAAAGAGCTTATGCTAATTTTTTAGGAGAGATTAATGTCAATTATCCCAAAAGTGATAGAATTAATCTTTTATAAGTTCTCTTTATAGAGAACTACTTGAATCCTTCCTCACAATATGCAGAAAGAGTTGTTTTGCATATTGAATCACTGAATTTATACCAGATGATACAGAATTGACTTCATTATTTGTACAGTTTTAAGATATAATCAGAAATAGGCTTTGTCCCATATACATAACACACATTGATCCCATATGGGTCTGCCAGATCCTCTAGTATAAGGTAATGCAGAAATTTATTGATTATTGGAAGTGTGTTGAAGGCCTCAGAATTTCCTAAGAAACATCATGTCAATTGCAAAGGTTTAAAGAAAGAGTTTTCTATTACATGGCAATAAGCCAAGGAGATTATAAAGAGATATTCTAGGAGGGCCTTGGACTTCCCAAAGGGCAGGGTACCCTGACCTCTCTTAAGGCTGTAGGGGGAGTGAAGAGGGGAAGTGGGCAAGTGGGAAGGGAATGGGAGGAGGGGAGGAAGTAGAAATTTTTGAATGAAAAAAAAGAGATATTCTTATTGCTCTTTCTATAACCAAACACCACTACCTATAGGGAGTAAGCCAAGGAGTACTCAAAGGGATGAAATCTGGCAGATGGATGTCTTCTACTTTGCATAGTTTGGAAAATTAAAATATGTACACTACACCATTGACACTTATTCAGGTTTTCAATGGGCAACTGCTTTGAGCCCAGAAAGGCTGATTCAGTAATCACACATTTATTAGAAGTTATGGCAATCAAGAATATACCAACACAAATAAAGACAGACAATGGTCCAACATATGTCTCTAAGAAAATAAAACAATTTTTTACTTATAATAATACAAAGCATATTACAGGTATACCAAACCATCATACAGGTCAGGCAGTTATAGAAAGATCAAATCAAACTATAGAGCATATGGTAAACAAACAGAAATAGATTGCATAATGCTTTGTTAACCTTGATATTTTTTAATGCTGATGAAAAAGGAACAACAGCAGCAGAGAAACGTTGCATAATAGAAAAATCTT